AAATAAATTTTAAATTACTCTTTCTAAAATGTGTAAATTGTTTTATCCAGTTGTATAGAGAAGCTGAAAAGAGAGGAAATCTTCACATCATTCAAATTAATGACACCATTTCTTAGAAATGGAAATTTTATTTTGATACTATATTTTTGAAGCCTGAAGAGAGTTAAGGGCATAATTTCTGTAGCTAGCTATTTTGAAATAAAAATTAAATTCAAAGATATTGATCTTATATTTGACTCAGTATGTAAATTTTCACATTTTCAACAATTTTCCATATCTGTGGCAAATAAATAATGAAATAAATGAATGACAAATAAATGAAAATCAATAAATAAATAACAAATAAATAAAAATTTATTTGTTCTGCAGATTAACTCTTTATGCCCACAATTGTATTAGATGTTACAGCCAAAATCATCATTTCTGCTATAATTTCACAGTTTCCAGTAATGTCAGTTCTTCACAGAATGACTTTTCTTACAACTTTAACTTCTTATTCTGTTTACATACAGGTCTACAGTTTTTTTCTTACTCTGTGTCTGAAAGATTCAACTGCCACATCTTCCTGAATTGAGAGTTGAGAAGTGTGAATGTTGGATGTGATCTTCAAGGTGCCTCCTGGATCACTCCAACATCAGAATGCTTTCTTGCCTAGGGTATTCAGACTTTTACCACGGGCAGATATTACTGGGAGATGGAAGTGGGAGACTCTTGGAACTGGGCTTTTGGAGTCTGTAATGATTATTGGAAAGAGAACAAAGATGGCAAGATGGATGAGGTGAAGGTCTCTTCCTCTTTGGATGTGTTAAGGAGGGATCCCATTACACTCTCTTTACCAACTCCCCACTTGTTTTTCAGTAAGTACTAAGGCCATTGGCTGAATAAGAGTATTCCTAGATTGTGAAGGTAGAACTGTGATCTCTACTAATGTTTCTCAAAGTTTTTTGATATACAGTATTTCTTCCTACTCTTTCTCTCCCCATATAAAAGCTTTTTTCTGCTGTAGTCATTTCTGACCAGACATACATAAGAACTGTGCTGCTAATACTACGGAAAATCCAATATCTAAAGAAGCCCTCTCTATTTCTACAAGAAATGCCATTGGGATTTTGATTGGCATTGCATTAAACCTATAGAGAACTTTTGGTAATATCGCCATTTTGATGATGTTAGTTCTGCCTATCCATGAACAGGGTATATTTTTCCATCTTCCAAGATCTTCTTCTATTTCTCTCTTTAGGGTTCTGTAGTTTTCATTGTATAAGTCTTTCACCTCTTTTGTTAGGTTGATTCCCAAGTATTTTATTTTTTTTGAAGATATTTTGAATGGAGTGGTTGTCCTCATTTCCATTTCAGAGGATTTGTCGCTGATATACAGGAATGCCTTTGATTTATGCGTGTTGATTTTAAATCCTGCCACTTTGCTGAATTCATTTATTAGCTCTAATAGTTTCTTTGTAGAGCCTTTTGGGTCTGCTAGATATAGAATCATATCATCTGCAAATAGTGATAATTTAATTTCTTCTTTTCCTATTTTTATGCCTTTAATTTCTTTCGTCTGTCTAATTGCTCTGGCCAGTGTTTCGAGAACTATGTTGAAGAGAAGTGGAGAGAGAGGGCATCCCTGTCTTGTTCCAGATTTTAGAGGGAATGCCTTCAGTTTTTCTCCATTCAGAATAATGCTAGCCTGAGGCTTAGCATAGATTGCTTTTACAATATTGAGGTATGTTCCTGTTATCCCTAGTTTTTCTAGAGTTTTGAACATAAAGGGATGCTGTACTTTGTCGAATGCTTTTTCCGCATCTATCGAGATGATCATATGGTTCTTATTTTTAAGTCTATTGATGTGGTGAATAACATTTATTGATTTCCGTATATTGAACCAGCCTTGCATCCCAGGGATGAATCCTACTTGATCATGGTGTACAATTTTTTTGATATGTTTTTGTATCCGATTCGCCAGAATTTTATTGAGGATTTTTGCATCTAGGTTCATTAGAGATATTGGTCTGTAGTTTTCTTTCTTTGAAGTGTCTTTGTCTGGTTTAGGTATCAGGGTGATGTTGGCCTCATAGAATGAATTTGGAAGTTCTCCCTCCTTTTCTATTTCCTGAAGTAGCTTGAAAAGTATTGGTATTAGTTCTTCTTTAAAGGTTTTGTAAAATTCTGCTGTATACCCATCGGGACCTGGGCTTTTCTTAGTTGGTAGTCTTTTGATGGTTTCTTCTATCTCCTCAATTGATATTGGTCTGTTTAGGTTTTCTATATCCTCCTGACTCAATCTGGGCAGATCATATGACTTAAGAAATTTATCTATGCCTTCACTATCTTCTAATTTATTGGAGTATAAGGATTCAAAATAGTTTTTGATTATCTTCTGTATTTCTGAAGTTTCTGTTGTGATATTGCCTTTTTCATCCCGTATGCTAGTAATTTGAGTTCTCTCTCTTCTTCTCTTCACTAGCATCGCTAAGGGTCTGTCGATATTCCCTAAAGACCTAAAAAGAGCATGCTACAGGGACACTGCTACATCGATGTTCATAGCAGCACAGTTCACAATAGCAAGACTGTGGAACCAACCTAGATGCCCTTCAATAGACGAATGGATAAAAAAAATGTGGCATTTATACACAATGGAGTATTACTCTGCATTAAAAAATGACAAAATCATAGAATTTACAGGGAAATGGATGGCATTAGAGCAGATTATGCTAAGTGAAGCTAGCCAATCCCTAAAAAACAAATGCCAAATGTCTTCTTTGATATAAGGAAAGTAACTAAGAACAGAGTAGGGACGAAGAACAGGAGAAGAAGATTAACATTTAACAGGGATGAGAGGTGGGAGGGAAAGGGAGAGAGAAGGTAAATTGCACGGTAATGGAAGGAGACCCTCAGGGTTATACAGTGGAGGGGGTAGAGAGAGAGGAGGGGAGGGGAGGGGAGAGGTGGGGAGGGGGGAGGGTGGATGATGGGAAAGGCAGCGGAGCACAACAGACACTAGTATGGCAATTTGTAAATCAATGGATGTGTAACTGATGTGAATCTGCAATCTGTGTATGGGGTGAAGGTGGGAGTTCATAACCCACTAGAATCAAAGTGTGGAATGTGATATGTCAAGAAATTTGTAATGTTTTGAACAACCCACAATAAAAAATTAAAAAAAAAAAAAAAAAAAAAAAGAAGCCCTCTCCCTTGGGTCTTATGAAACATGTCAAACAGAATATATCTTTTTAAGTTTAGGTTACCTCAAATTTTGTAAAAACCTACTTAATCTGTTATTAATTGTGGTGATAATATTAAAATCACATAAAGATTTAAAATTTATGCATTTTTAATTAATTTATTTGGGGAATATAATCTATGATACATGAAGTAGGACATATTTTCTGATTTTATTTGTGAAATGTAACAAAATAAAGGAATAGATAATTTTTGATTTAATAAAGGTAAAATTCAATGTAAGAGAATGTGTCTCTTTCTTTTCTGTGTTGGTCCATTTTCTGTTCTTTTAATATAATACCGAATCTGGGTAAATTATAAAGAAAAGATTCATTTATCTCACAGTTCTGAAGACAGGTAAGTTCTAGGTTATGATGCCTGAATTTTTGGTGAGGGTTTCATGCTGAATCTGCTCATAGCAGAGAAGCAGTAGGAGAAATTGTCCAGTGAAGAAAATCTGAACACATGTGTGACACCCTTCATAACAACCCACTTTCTAGAAAATGACTCATTTTCCAAGGGCCCAGAATTTACTCCTTCATTCAGGCTCAATCCAAGGAGAAAGGCTCTAATTCTTTTTAATGACTTAAAGACCTCATCTCAAAATACTACTGCTCTATGGAATAATATTTCAACTTGAGTTTTGTTGGGGAAAATCCACATTTAAACCATAGTACTATATAGCCCCTCTGTCTATAATTCAGAGTCTGAGAGGTTGTATCTACTTGATTTCTTCTTTTGGGAAGAAATTTAGCAAATGTGAACATTTGAGGTCCCTGGAAATGAGGTGCTTCCCTCATCTATCACTCTGATAATCTGAGGAAGAAATAGGGCCTCCTTGACAGCCTAATGCCTTTGTAGCAGAGGAACTCTCAGGGCAGTGACTTCTATACATTTTTCTTTATAGCCCAGGATTCTTGTATTATAAACCAAAACTCATGCTTTCATACCATACCATCCAATATGTTATTTTTTGAAGTCTCATTGTTTTTACATCCTAAAACCATAATTAGTATCTATTGGACAAAATCATATTTGATACTGATCTGTGTAAAAGGGAGGTTCCAGGAAAGTCTACCAAAGCTAGAAAGAATCAATAGAGGCTTCAGGGTGACTAATTTTCACTGGATGGGGTATGGGGAATGTGGCCATCTTTGCTCTTGCAGTTCATGCTGTGTATGTGGCATTACTTAAGAAGCAGCCCCAAGGAAGAGTCCTAGGTCTCTTTTGGGAAAGCATAAGATTGATGTGACAAAAATAAAACCAAAACTTTTTCTTTCTTTCTTTCTTTCTTTCTTTCTTTCTTTCTTTCTTTCTTTCTTTCTTTCTGTTCTTTTTTAAACAGAAATGGAATGCAGGGACACTTTACCACTGAACCACATCTTCAGCCCTTTTAAATATTTTAATTACAGATAGAGTTTTTCTGTATTGCTTAGGGTCTCACTAAATTGCGGAGGCTGGATTTGCACTTCTGATACTCTTGCCTCAGCCTCAGGAACTGGGATTATAGGTGTGGGCCACCTCAGCTGGTGAGGAAAACAAAATTTCTAAACTAAATCCCTCTCCACATGGGAGAATAAAACTAAAGCAAAAGTCAGAAAGAAAAATGTTTATAAATGTTCAAAAACACATACTAAAATAATCACATATGATGTCAACCTCTTTCCATTCTTAAAGGTGGAAAATAAAAGAAAAAAATTAAAATCTTTAGATATAATCTGAATTTGGGGATTCAATTTATTTTTTTTCAAAACATTACATAATTCTTTATTATTAAATGAGAAAATCTCATTTGTTACATGGTCACATTGCTAGTCAGAGAAATGCTGCAGTGATGAAGAAAGTCAATGTTGGATCAACCAAAGTCCTCATTTCTACAACATTCATTTACAAAGAAATAATGTTCAACCCATCCCAACAAAACATTCTTGGTTTTCTTCATATTGAAGTCCCCCAAATAAACCATCTTCTAAAGGGGTATTTCACTACATAAATTATAGTTCTTCATTTTTACAATTCACCCCAAACTGTGAGAGATGTATCACACTAAAAATTCTAAAGGTGTTAGGAAATCCTTCACACATCATCATCATCTGATGTGTCACTGCTACTTGTCTCTGTGTCATCATTCTCAATTGTGGGTTTGAAAGTGCTGTTTTTCCAGGGTCCAAACTTGAAGTCACAGATCAGGTCATTTTTCAAAATACCATTTTTTCTCAGACCATTCTTCTGCAACTGTTCACTAATAACTTGGAATTCTCTCATTTCATCCTCAGTTAAGGGAGCACATGTTTCATCATTTTCACTGTCTTCCTGCCAGCCCATTTCCTTTAACAATCTGTGTTCTGCCTCAAGTGAACTGGAAAGAACATCAGTTTGTGGAAAGGTTGAAGACTGAATGATCTGTTGGGAAATCACTGTGGCATTGCCATTCTCTTGTGGAATTTCATTTTCATCAAAGTTTCTGTTTATATCCCTTTCTTGGTGAGTACTATTGCTGTTATGCAAATTAAATGAGTCTTCATCCTTCTCTGAGACAGCATGGCTTTCATCTTCATGTTCTTCTTCTACTCTGTCCCTTTTCAATGCTTTCAAAAATTCACTCTTCTTATCAGTGCGCATTCATGTCAGTTTGGTTAGAGGAGGCTGCTGATTAAGTTTGTCAACAGGTGAAGAGGAATTGGAACAATTACACTCTTTCACTGAATTTGGTGATGGACTAAAATTCTTGGCAGTTGATTAAAAGCATTAAAGTCGCCAACACCATATGAAGATTCATGAGGGAAAGAAGTCCCAACCTTATTTTCTTTAGTTTGGCTTTTCCACTGTGTAAGTTTTGTAGGTGGAGCAGCAGTTTTAGGCACTAAGCCTTTATAAACACTCAGACCAGTTCCATTCTTAACTGGCTGTGACTGAAGATTTCCTACTACAGGGAATCCAGATAGCTGTAAGTCTTTTGTATTACCTTTCTTAATGACCAGCATCCTTGGAGCTCTAGATTTAGGATTCAGAGGATATTCTAAGAGAGGAGCTTGGGAGATTTTTTTGGTTGGGTATGTGTGTGTCTGGGCGTGTAGGCCCCATACACCTGCAGCTAATGATTTATTCTGATTTGGTTCTCTCTCATATTCAGGATTTAAAGATGGAAAATCCTCAGCCTCAAACTGTTTCCATTCTCTTTTATCTTCTTTCCTTCGGGTTTCATTGTCAGGTATGTTGTTTTCATGTAGACCTTGGCTTTTTCCAGAACGGAAAATACTGCTACGAGAATGGGAATTTCCACCATGGTATCCTCCTCCATGATTTATGTTTTCAGTACCATTTCTGCCATGCCTACGCCATCCATTTTTTTCTTTCCTTCGAAAATTACCTCCATTAGAACATCCAATACCAGAATCAAAGCCATCTGAAGAATTGTGTCTTCGACGATTCACATCATAACGATTTTCCGTCCATGAAAAATTTTCAGAATGCTTCTCAAAATTCAATAATGACTTTGTTGATGATGGTGGAGTAGGAAAATTAAGCCAGGCTGGAGCAAAGTCATGCTGTGCCATTTAGGTCCAGTCTCTCCAAGTCAGTGAAATAAGGCTTCAACACCTCATGGCAAGTCCAAATTCCAACAGGACTGCCCACGAAGGTGTTGGTTCTTTCTCTGTAATCTTTATGTTTTCCAGTTTGTTTTTTTTATTTTGTATCCTCTGAAATATCCAAGTTCTTTGAAGATGCTTAACTAACCTATAACTATTTGACATAGAGTTATTTCAAGTCAGCTACCCATACTTCTGTTTTAAAGTTTTCATATGGCTATCTCCAGAATTAGCCAAGTTCCTCAGATTTAAGATCAAAGTCTTCTTTATTATTCCATGTACTTGTAACTGTTGTACTTATCCACTCCAGATGAAATATCCAACTTATGATCCAAAAAGCAGAAACGAACAGAAAATTTCACATCTGAAGAGTATTCCTAAACAGCAGCACATAAAAAGACACAAATAGCTATCTCAATATTACCATGCTGGTGGAAAACTGCAACATCTTAAATTTCCACGTAAGTAAAAGATAAAAAGAAAAAAACTCTGTATTCTTTCAATGTCTTCATTTAGAAAAGTTGTCCCATTGTGACATGAAAAGTGCTGATGTCAAAAACTCCTAAAAGTTTTAATAAAGGTAAAAATAAATGGCCATGAAACTTTAGCAATACTCAAAACAGTAATTTGAAGCTGCTGAAACTACTCAGTACAAATCAAACATATCTTACAGTTTGGCTGAAGAACAACAACAGGATGGGGGGGGCAAAAATATCACCAGCTGAAATACTTTTAACCAGTTATATAATCCGTTTGAACCAAAATACTGAAGAAATGCCTGGGTCTCTTTTTAAGTAGTTTGTAGAATCTGTTCACTACTATCAATTCACTTCAGAGATGATTCTTGCCAATTTTAATAAACTTCAGGGGCAAAATTATCCAAAAACATTGTAATTCCAAAATGGCCACTTGAAATATCTGGGGCCTTTTACACAAAACCTAGAAGATGATCTTCATATCTGAATAATTCAATCACCTTCTGCCCCACCAGAGGTGTCCCTTGCCTGGTGGTGCCACTGCGCTGGATCCCGGGAGAAGGTTTTCAGTACTTTGAATAATCCCCTTTGGCCGCTTTTCCCTCCCCCACAACCATCATTTTTTTTTTTTAAGTCAGTAACTGTGGGCAAGACTCTAAATGTTTGTTTATGAAGATTAGAGAAGGGAATACATCAAAATTTTCTACCTGAAAACTAACTACCCACACATCCAAACCACTCACACTAATCTAATCGCCCATGCTAATCTAATTACCTACACTATTTAGCTAACACTGATTGGAAACACTCTGAATGCAATCAAGGAAGAAGTGGGTGTTGTCTTCAGGGACTCAATAAAAGTGCACTCCAGGAGACCAGCTCATTCTTCTCCAGAGTAGAGTTTGAAGCTCACCTGGCTGAATGACATCAAAATCGACCTCCTCCACACCTTGAGTGCCTGATACTGAAGCTTAATTCATATTTTCAATTCTGCAGCAAGAACTGCTGAAACCATAGAGTAATTCTTAAAGTACATATACAATTGCCACATGAGCTGTAGCTACTACTTTCCCAAACAAAATCAAATGTAATTTCGTAGTTTAAACTTTTTTCTTTTCTTTTTTATTTCTATTTATTTATTTATTTATTTATTATTGTACTGGAGACTGAATTCAGAGGCACTGGACCACTGAGCCACATCCCCATTTCTATTTTGGATTCTATTTAGAGACAGGGTCTCACTGAGTTGCTTAGAGTCTTGCTTTGACTGAGGCTGGTGACGAACTTGCACTGCTTCTGTCTCAGGTGTGTGCTACCATGCCCAGTGTTCCTACATAGTTTATAAGCACTCTGAAACTAGTTCTCAGATAATGTATAATTTTTTATCTGTAAATCCAATAATATTTTTAGGAATATTCTCTCTCTTCCATTCTTAGAAGTTCAACTATAGTAGAAATGAGAACCCAGATTTTTAGCTAAATAAAAACTGTAAAGAAGTCTTTGTTTTCTGGAGCAGATTAAAATAATCACATATTTTCACAGTATGAAAGGTGCTTGATAATAGTTCAGACTTGTATAGAGAGCTACTCACTTAAATATTTGATTTATTTGCATTCTTTATTTACTCAGTTTGTTCTGTCATGTACAAAAGCAAGTTTATTATTCCCTGGAGAGTAGTGTGCTATTCAATGAGAATATGAGTAAAAATTGGTTCAGGTCTTTATCTCTTTAAGGGTAGATGCTTAAATCCTTATGGTTTTCTTCCCTCAGAATAATGGATTCAGAAATACCACAAGTGCTCCAGAAAGAACTCACTTGCTCTGTCTGCCTGAAGTACCTTATATACCCAGTCACCATAGGCTGTGGGCACAGCTTTTGTTGGCCCTGTTTCTTTGTTCCATGGGGGCAAGCCCAAATTCTTCCTGTTGCCCTGTGTGCAGGGAGCCATCACAGCAGGGAGATGTCAAAAACAACATTCTTCTGAAGAATCTTACATCAATCGCAAGGCAGGCTCATCTCAGGCAATTCCTGAGCTCTGAGAAAAATATATGTGTGACCCACCAGCAGACAAAGAAGATTTTCTGTGAGGAGAACAAGAACCTGCTCTGTTGGCTCTGCTGCAACCCTCAGGAGCACAGGGCTCACAACCACCCTTCAGTGGAAAGGACTGCTGAGGAATACCGGGTAAGTGACACCAATGAGAACACTGTGAAGGCTGAGCAGTGGAGCTAAGAGATTACAAAAGAGCTGAGGATCTGGATGATGATGATTGCCCTACTCTTTTCTGTATGCTCAGTAATTTTATAAGCATCAAGGAAGAAGCTAAGAACCAAAGATGTAAGCAATAAATAAAATATGCAAGCATGCCTGCCTTGGTGGAGCTTGATTCCACAGAGGTAGTGATAAAGGAGTTGGTCACTTTAATTTTAATTTTCATGGTTAAGGCATTAGAAACTGCTCATTTTGAAAAGTGTTACTGGCTACCAAAATGACAAATGCAATACATTTCTATACAGCATGAATATTTACTAACACTAGGGAATAAATTAGATAAAAGGCTTTGGGGAATTAGCAGGGTAGAGCATCGGAAAACAAAATCTGAAGCCAATTGCCACACTATCTAAAAACTATTCATCTTTATCACTATCCCTAGGCACATGGCTACATTATGCACTTTTGCAGTATGAAATCTCCTAAAATTCACAATCATCAATAGCAAAAGGAAAGCAATATGATTTTTTTCTCACTAAAGTACTTATCTCTTACTTATTTGTGATTCTCTCTATCATTGTGAGATTGAAACCAAATGTGCTTGCTTCTCTATTGTTTGAATTTATATTTCTTTTTCAGGAGAAGCTCCTAAAGCAAATAAGATCATTACGGGAAAAGATCCAAGTAAATCAAAGAAATATAGATGAAGAGAACAAAATAATCAGTCCATGGATCGTAAGTATGAGTCTATTTCCTTGAGACTCAGCTTGAAACAGACGTACTAGAAATCCATCCATTATTCATTATGGCATCATGGTGTAAGGATATTAGGTACATCATTTCTGGTGGCTTGGAATCCTAAAAGTCAAATTTGACTTTGTTGATCAAACAAATGACCAGGCAGTGTCATAGGGAGGTTTGAGATGAAAATTAATTTTCTCACCAGAGATCAGAATATTGCATATAGTGATTTATGTGACAGCTCTAAATTCTAATCGCTTGCATGTAGAAATTTATATTTCAAGGATAAATTGTCAATCAAAACCTTTTCTTAAGATATTTCAGGCATTCATGAAGCAGATAAAAGTGGTTGGAGGGAAGGATGGGTTTGGTTCCTTGCCTTTGTTATAAAAACTAGGGAAAGAATGAAGATAAAAGAAGAGTGAATTTCTAATTTCTGAAATGTGGATGCATATAAAATTATGGCATATGTAACATACTGGTAAAAAGCCAATGGTCAAAGAGAGAGGTTTAGGTGGAGGAGGTTAAAATCATACTGGAATTGTGATCTAGACAATCTCTCTCTACAGTACTATGTGTATCTCAGGGAAGAGCTGATCAGGGCTGAGTACAGGAAACTACATCCAGTTCTTCATGAGGAGGAAAATCGACATCTAGACATTCTTAGAAAGGAAAGCAAAAGAATTTTAGAGGAACTCAAAAAAAGTGAAGCCAATATGGTTCAAAAGAAGAAAGACTTAAGAGAAATATATGAGGAGCTGGTGAAAATGTCCCATAAACCATATGTGGAGCTGCTCCAGGTAAGAACTTAGTTGTGCATGAAAGTATTTTATATGTTTTGGTGTTCTCATTTTGACCACATTATTTGGTAGTTTTTTTTTTTTATATATTTCCTGCATCAATTATGGGGTTCTTTCCTCTTTGGATATAATCTACTTAAAGTTTACCTTCTATCCTGACTATAAATAAGCAAGATTTATGAAACTCTGTGAGTAGCTCTCCTAGGATTTTTTTTTAATTTTTCTGTTGTATCTTGCTTCTCTAAGATCCAGAAAAATAACAATTTATTCATGAACATTTCATTTTTTGCCTGCCATTTGACAATATGCAGACATCTTGGAAAAGCTTATGTTCTCTTTCTTCTGTTTAAAAGTTATGGAATTGGGGACAGTAAACACTGTGTATTACTGATATCCTTCATTCTCTTTAGAACCTCTGGATTCTGATTTAATCACAAATTCAGAATCTTTAAATATGCTTTACTGGTACTGTCCTGAGAGATGAAAATGAATTCATAAGAAGCATTGATGTGATGATATTTGATACTACATGATCTTTCCAAAAACAAAACACTATTCAGTTTCTTAAAAAAAAAAAATAAGCCCTTTTTTTGTTTTCTTTGCAGGACTTGGGAGACCTATTGACCAGGTAAATTTTTGATTGTAGTGTAAACTGGGATACCATTGAGAGCTATGAAAGTGTTTAAGTTGTTTCTAACAAAGTGAAGGCATAGTTTATGTAGAGAGTAATCAACTGTGTGTTCATGTTTTTGTTTGAATATGATTTCCTTTTCCCCTTTATGAGAAGTCAGCCTCTATTTCCCCTGTTGATTGAGGGATATATGTCATCCTGGGCTGAATGTTGATGTTCATAAATGCAACCATGTATGATTTGACATTGTAAATCAGAAACATTGAGGTGCATGGGACAGTTTTTCCTATTTAGGTAATTAGAGACATGGGTACCACTGAGAAATGGGTTGTTAACTGGCAAATTAAGTAGGAAAGATTCCTAGAAACAGTCCCTTCTCATGTTCCCAGAGTTACATTCATGAGAAAATGGTTTCAAGAAACATTTTCAGCAGAATTGTTGTTTAGTTCCTTAAAAACTGTGATGTCATTTTTGTCACCAGAAGATTCATGTCGTCTTCCTACTTTCAGGGGTGAATCAGTGCAGCTGCACATGCCTCAGCCTATAAAGCCAGCACTTCCTGCCCAGACCATCACTGGACTGATAGACAGGCTCAAGTGTTTCCAAGGTGAGTGTCATCCCAGTGATGGGAGCATAGTGTAGTGACTTTCAATAATGATTTTCTATGGGAAACCTTTCCATTTATTAACCTTTAATTTACCCAAAGGGAATGGTCTGCCAATTAGTATTTATAATTATATTTAGTAACCTGATCACCATGATTAATTAAGGAAAAAAATAAGTGATCACTGGTAAAATA